CTGCTTCGGATTCTGTGTCTCCCTCTCTCTCTCTTCCCTTCCCCAACTTGTGCTCCGTCTCTCAAAAAAAAAGTCCTCAGGTAAAATACACATTGTTTTTAGCTGTCTTTTGCTTTTAGAGTTGTAAATCTTCTTAAACACACCCACCCTCCGAACCTGACCACCCTTTCACTGAAGCATCCTTCTTAATCCCCCAGCTAAATGCCATTGGGGAAAACTTGAATCTTTTTTACATTCTTACTTCAGGAATTTCTACTTAAAAGAAAACACACGTCACTAGTTTCCTCTGGCCAACACTGGGAAAGTACTTAACGTGCAGTAAAAGTACACTGTGGAATTGTACTTAGTGGGTTTTTAGAACAAATATGAGTGGCTTTCTTTTTGTCTGAATGAGGACAGTGTACATTATACAGATTCCCAGTATATATCAGCCAAAGTCAATAGCATTAATGTGCTAAGGAGTCTGTAAACATCTCATCTCAATATTTTGATGCTTCTCACAAACTATTTTTTTTTACATGTACTGGTGTCTGGAAAGTCACTCTACCCCAGATTTGGCAAGGGCTTTGGCTCTACCCAGGGCTGCTACTTTGCACGTAGCCTGAAGCTGTCACTTAGGCCTCTGGTTCTTTATCCCTGTGACTGCTGTTGAGATACAACAACTATAAGACCTGGAGGCGTAGGCATGAGAATCCTTACATAAATGTTCTTTGCTTGGGGCGCCTGGGTGGCTCAGTCGCTGAGAGTCGGTGACTCTTGATTTCGGCTCGGGTCATGATCTCGCAGTTTTGAGATTGAGATCGAGCCATATCAGGCTCTACCCTGACGGCTTGGAGCCCGCTTGGGATTCTCTCTCCCTCCATCCCTCTCTTTGCACCTCCCCCGTGTGTTTGTGCACTCCCCCTCCCTCTCTCTCTCTCCCTCTCTCTCTCAAAATAAGTAAATAAACTTAAAAGAAAAACCAAGTTGTTTGCTTTTCTTAGGGTGGCCAGGCGGATCCCCTGCAGAAGGAGGAACTGCAGTCTGGAGTGGATGCTGCCAACAGCGCTGCCCAGCAGTATCAGAGAAGTAAGAGCCCCCCCTGAGAGGCCGAGTGGGGCTGATGTCACAAGGGGCGTCTGAGGTCAGATTCCGTCACTCCTTGCCCCCTCCCCAGGCCTGCTCGCCATCCACCACCGGGTGCCTCTGGCGGCGGCGGCTCCCCTGGTTTTCAAAGTAGAGCTGAGCCCGTGGAGGCTCACTGACCAGGCCAGGAGGCACCTGACGGTTGGGGGAGGTGAGACTTAGGGGCTTGATCGGTAAGATCTGGACGGTGGAGGAGGGAGGAGAAGGAGAAGGACGCTCCTAAACGTGGGAGAGAGGAAGGAAGGACGCGCGAGTAGAGGTATAGAAGGTGAAAGAGGTCTGGAAACAACGGTGGTTCAAATAACATTTTTGTACGTGTTTGGAGCTGAGCTGTGTAAGATAAAGGCTTGGAAAGACCGTAACCTTTGCGTGGCAGCTTAAGGAGCTGGTCCTCTACTTGCCGGGCTGCAGGGGATGGAAGAGACGTTTTAGAAAGATGTTTTATAAATTGGAGTGGAGGGAAGATATGGGTGAGGGAGAAGGGAGGCCACCCTTTGAAACAGCTTCGTGGAGATACAGTGGAGATACAGTCGGCCTGGCCTCCGGTTCACCTTCATACAAAGGGGGAGCCTGTTCCGTAAAGATGAAATTTCCACTTCAAACATTAGGGCTGATAGTTTATCCACAGAATGTAACTTTCTTCTGTGAAGACGACTCTCCTTCCCCTCGGGGCTTCCCACGCCAGCTGCATTTCTCACCTGTTTTCTACCAGGATTGACAGCCGTGGCAGCGATCAACGCCGCCATCCAGAAGGGTGTTGCTGAGAAGACGGTTCTGGAGCTCATGAATCCCGAGGCCCAGCTGCCCCAGGTGTTTCCATTTGCTGCTGGTCTTTATCAGAAAGAGCTGGCTACCCTGCAGCAACAGAGTCCTGAGGTAAGTCAGCTGAACTTGTCCTGCTTGTGAGCAAAATGGAGTGGCCATGAACTTGATACCTGCCCCTTGGAGTCGTTGGCAGAGCCTTTTTTTTTTTAATTAAATAAACCAGAAGCTTAGACTTCTTATGCCTTTATTAAACTTGTAACCTTGCTTGGTGTCCAAGAATGTCTGTCCTCCCCTTCTCCCCCTCCCCCTCTCTGTACAGCATAACCTCACCCATCCTGAGCTCTCTGTCGCAGTGGAGATGTTGTCATCAGTGGCCCTAATCAACAGGGCGCTGGAGTCGGGGGACATGAACACCGTGTGGAAACAGTTGAGCAGTTCCGTGACAGGCCTTACCAATATTGAAGAAGAAAACTGTCAGAGGTGGGTGCCCAGAGTGGCAGCTTGAGTCCATCAGACGGCTCTTACTCTGTTGCTGGTCAGCAACACTCCCGTTTTCAGGCATTGTGACCTTAGTGTGATCTTTTCTTTTCTTTTTTTTTCCCGTTTTGATTCACTTTATTAACTGTTATGCTGGACGACTTACTGTAAATTACCTATTATCATGACATTCGACTCCTAAATATATAGATATGCTTATCTGGAACAATGAAGGTACTTATTTTGTAGCCACAATAGTGCTGTCTTCTACCCTGACAAAAGCAGCGCTTCATCTTTAGTATCTTCTAAGCCTAGTCCGTTTTCATGCTTCTTCACTTGTTCCAAAACTGTCCTTTTCACCTGGTCTCTTCAAACCAGGATCGAGTGCAGGATCATGTGCTACATCTGACTGTTGTATCCCTTAGGTATCTTCTAATCTAGCGTGGTTCCTGTCTTCATGATGCCGAGTGGTTAAAGAGCTGGGACCAATTTGTATAAAATGTTCTGTCTTCAGGTTCTGGTTGCTTCCTGATATTTGGCTTATTCCTGTAAATTGGAAATTACATCCAAAGGGTTGTCAAGATTCAAGTCAACATTTTTGGTGATGTGTGTTTCATATCTCTTAACTAGAGGCATATGAAATCTACTTGTGTCACCGTTAGAAATACTAAGATTGATCTTTGAACTGGGGAGACAACTTATCCCTCTAATGTATATTTATGTTTTTCCCTTAGCATGATCTCTTTTTGTACCTTTGCACCATCAAAATATCCAGTTCCCCTTTAACCATCACCTAGTGTTTTTAACTCTGGTTGATAGTTCTTGTTTAAATCAGTACTTAATATTCAGTAAGAGTTGCTTAATGGTGATAGCCTTTTTTTTTTTTTTTTTTTTTTTTTTAAAGTAAGCTCTACACCCAACGCAGGGCTTGAACTCACGACCCCAAGATCAAGAGACACACACCATACTGACTGAGCCAGCCAGAGACCCTTAATGATATTTTGTTAGCTGGTGTATGGCCTTGTTTTTTTGTCTTTAGGAATTGGTTGAGACACTGCCTCTGGTTATTAGTTGATGATACCTGGAATTTAGAACATGTAACAGGCTGTTAAGAATGAATGATATCCTGGGGCGCCTTGATGGCTCGTTTGCCAGAGCGTGCGCTCAATCTTGGGGTTATGAATTCAAGCACCACATTGGGTGTAGAGATTACAAAAAGAAAAAAATAAACTTAGAAAAAAAAAAAGGGAAGAAGTAGTGATGCCTTTACATTTTCACATTTTGTTGAAGGTAACTCCTCAGTCCCAAAGTTTTCCTCCAGAGTATGTCACACTGTTGGGATACATTAGCTGTCTTTGTTCCTTGGATAATTTTTCCCAGTCTTCTCATTCCTGTCATCTGTGACAATCCTGAAGATTCCTTTTACTTTTCTTTTTTTTAATGTTATTTATTTTGAAAGAGAGAGCAAGCAAACATGCATACACACAAGGGAAGGGCAGAGAGAATCCCAAGCAGGTCCCCATGCTGACAGCACAGAGCCCAATGTGGGGCTCGATCCCATAAGCCATGAGATTACGACCTGAATTGAAACTAAGAGTTGGACGCTTAACTGACTGAGCCACTCCTGAAGGTCCCTTTTCTTATGTTGTCCTTCATTGTCTTTTTTGTTGGGGAAATGAGGCAGGTATCTCGATGAGCTGATGAAACTGAAAACTCAGGCACATGCAGAAAATAATGGATTTATTACATGGAATGACATTCAGGCTTGTGTGGACCATGTGAATCTGGTGGTGCAGGAGGAACATGAGAGTGAGTAATCTATTTAACTATCCCCTCAAATAATGACACAATTCAAGATGGTGTGATTCCACGACCTGATTCTGAACACTAGTCCTAGAAAGATTTTCGGAAATTGGATGTGTGTGTGTGTGTGTGTGTGTGTGTGTATCTCAAAAAGCTAAGGTTAGATGTTGTTTTCAAAACCTCAGGCAACTGCTACAATTAGGTGTGTGTGTAATAAAAACTAAAATATTCAGGACGTCCCTTGAACATGATCTTTTATTTTTAAACGTTTTGTAACAAGTAGTTTTGACGCTAACTAACTACCTGGAGTTAGGTCATCTTGCGCGGGTGCAGGGCACAGTCCTCCTTAAGACTCCTCTCATTTCAGACACTAGTCACAAACTCTAAGGAGTTCCCAGGTCACCACGCTTCTGAACAACTGGCTATAAATTCAGAGGTTCCCTCAATCTCCCCCCCGCAGGTTCAATAATTTGCTAGAGTGCCTTGCAGAACTCAGGGAAAAGCCTATGTTTATGATGATAGTTTTATTATAGAGTATACAAATCAGAAGTGGTCAGAAAAGGAGACCTGTAGGGGGATGTCTGGTAGGGTCCCAAATGTGAAGCTTATGTGTCCTTAGGATGTGTGTCACAACCAGGGAGGCTCACCTGAGTGTGGGGTGTCCAGAGTTCTTAAGGGGCTTCGTTACCTGTGAAGGATTGGTTGTTGGCCATGTAACTGAACTCGGTTTCTAGTCTGTCTCCCCTCCCTGGAGATAGGCAGGCTGGGCTGATACCACGATATCACACGGCTCAAAGCCCCAGTATTTTGATCACGTGCTTGGTCTTGCCGGCATGACCAGCCCCCGTCCTGAGACCATCCAGCGGCCCGCCTGGTTCGCATAGATAGACTCAGGTGTGGTCCTAGAAGCCCGGCAAGAATAACACAGATAATCCTACCATTTAGGAAATTCCAAGGGGTTCAGAGGCTTCATCTCAGAAACTCAGGTCAAAGGTCAGCCAAATTTTTCTTCTACCACTGAGCCTTTACAGAAGTAGTACAGCTGCCTGAGATACCTAAAGAGTGAATGTTTTTAGTTTTAATTCGTTCAGTTTGTATTTCCTGTAAGAAAAATGCCGTTGGTAAGTGAGAAGAGCCTTGCCTTGGGGTGGGGAGCCCTCGGGTTGGATCTGCCATCGGCCACCTGTTTGCGGTGTGATCTTGAAGAAGAAATCTCTAAGCCTAGTCTTTTCTTACATAAAGATGTTGATCAGGTGACTTTTTAGGATTCTTTGAACTCTGACGTGCTGTGAATCAAAAATGGTTTTGATTACACATTGCAAAGTACTTGAAAGCTAGATTATTAAAGTCTGTTTCATGAAAATTCTCTCAACTTTTCAGGTAGAGCAATTAAAAATAAAACAGAAAGACTTGAGGTTTCAGTGGCAATATGGATACCAGGGAGTTTACTTTAAATGAAACAAATACTAAAAAAAAATTAAATGCTGCTTAATATTATAGGTGTCAAGTTATGATTTGAATCATAATGCTCGGGTGGATTTATGATTACTTAGATTTGTTTAAATAATTTGTTAATTAAAAGAAAATAACCTTTGTCCCTTCATATTTAGGGATTTTAGCCATTGGTTTAATTAACGAAGCCCTGGATGAAGGTGATGCCCAAAAGACTCTGCAGGCCCTGCAGATTCCTGCCGCTAAACTTGAGGGGGTTCTCGCAGAAGTGGCCCAGCATTACCAAGACACGCTGATCAGAGCAAAGAGAGAGAAGGCCCAGGTGAGTGGCACTGAAATTGTTCTTTTCCCTTCAGAGCACTTCATCCCTCATCCCTTCAGAGACAGAGGAAATGTCTCCCTTCATTTCCTCAATTACTGTTTTCTGGCTGGCACCTTTGCACTCAGAGCACTGGAGGGACACGAGACGTGACAGTGCATATTTGGGTGTTTTTGTGGTTCTCTGTTGTTGTAGACACATCTCTTGTGTCTCTTTAAGTAAATTCTGTGTTGAAACATAATGCCAAAATTGTGTAAGTTACGTAAGTTGCGTTAGTATATATGAGAATTAAAAGTGCCATAAATTTTCAAGAGCATACCTGTGTAATTGGTACTCAGATTATGAAAAGCTTAACGGAACTGTCCACCCCATCCTTTTCTGTCCTTGTCCACCCCTCACTCACCCACCTGCTGGTAACCACTATCTTGATTTTTAATGCCACGGTTGATTTTTGCCTGTATTTGAATTGTATTTGAACTGCCTGTAAGTAGCATTTTATACTCTCTTGTATCTGGTTTCTTTTGCCCAACATAATGTTAGTGAAATTCATCTGTGTAGCTGCAAGACGTATGAGTTTGTTCATTCTCATTGTTGTGTGCGATTTCATCACGGGGTTATATATTCATCGTTGGTAAATTTGGGGTTGTTTCCCATTCTTTGGCTATTGCAAATAGTGCTTCTATGAATATTTTAGTACATGTCTCTTGGTAAATATATGTATCATTTCTATTAATTAGGTGTACATTTAGAAGTAGAATGGATGGGTCATAGGGAATACACATAAGCTTTAGTAGATAAATGCCATGTTTTTTGTAATGGCTTTACTGAGATGTAACTCTCATAGCATAGATCTCACCATTTCAAAGCGTACAATTCAGCGGTTTTTATTCTGTTCACAGAGTTGTGCGACCCTCTCCCCTCAATCAATTTTAGAAGATTTTTGTCACCCCAGAGAGAAACCTGGCACTCATTAGTCACTTCTCATTTTCCCTTAGTCTCTCCAGCTCGAGGCAACCAGCAGTCTGCTTCTGTTGGTGGATTTGCCTCTTCTGGTCATTTCATCTACATGGACTCATACAATATGTGGTCCTTTGTGATTGGCTTCTTTCATTTAGCTTGGTTTATCCAAGTTGTAGCATGTGTTGGGAGTACATCATTTCTTTTTACTGTCAAATTATGTTCCACTGTATGGCTGTACCACATTTTACCTATCCGTTCATGAGCTGATGGACACATAGATTGTTTCTACTTTATGGCTATTAGGAGTAATACTGCTATGAACATAAAAGTTTTTGTGGGTGATTATAACACACCTTTTAAAAAGTTTGTCTTACCTCTCAGCTAGGTTGTTGACGGAAATGGACAAGATTTGTACCTCTTGTTATCATGTTGCTGAGTAGGAAGTTTCTTTGTATATAGTAGGCCCTCAGATGTTAGTTGCATGATTAAGACATAATTACTTCTGTTTTTCTAATTGTGATGGATCTCCTTTTAGGTTCTTCCTAAGTAATAACAGTTACATAGGGGGGACCACACCTTTCTTTTCTGACTGAGAGGATCCCTACAGTGAGGTCTGGTAGCAAGCAGAAGAACTAAAAGAAAAATCTTTTTTTTTTTTTTTAATTTTATTTTTAAGTAATCTCTACACCTAATGGGTGTCTCGAACTCACAACCCTGAGATCAAGGGTCTCTCTACTGACAGGGTCAGCCAGGCACCGCCTCCCCCCGCCACCCCAAAAGAAAATTTTAATTTAGGGGGTCACATTCTTTCTGGGAAACCAAAGGTGGAAAAACAGACCAGAACTTTTGTGTTATTGAGGCTTTTGTATGCTCCCGCTGATGCAGGCTCTGTAAGCGTGGGCTGGGATGAAGGGTCGTGGCTAACAGTGTAATGTTGATTGGCCCCCTTTGATTGCATAGTCAGGAGAGTAGTTGGCATTACCGTGTCCTAATCATATAAATACAGCAAGTACCAGATTTCACTTAAGAGGCACATCATGGTGCAGAATGTCAGTGATCTGAAACACAAGTCCTATTTTGTAGTCAGGAAACTGAGAAAAAGGGATCGGATCTAATGTGATAATTACTTGGGTGAGAAGCGGTTGTAAATGGCGTTCTCTGTCTTTGATATTAATTTTGGACCATTTGGACCAGAGCTTCCCAAACTTGGCTGATTGTGAAAACACTTGAAAAGTCATTTTATTTTATTTAAAAAAATTTTTTTTAATGTTTATTTATGTGAGAGAGAGGGAGACACAGAATCCGAAGCAGGCTCCAGGCTCTGAGCTGTCAGCACAGAGCCTGACACGAATGAACCATGAAATCCTGACCTGAGCCAAAGTCGGATGCTTAACCAACTGAACCACCCAGGTGCCCTGAAAAATCATTTTAAAAATACAGATTCCTAAGCTTTAACTCTATTCCTGATTCAGAATATCTAATCCGGGGCCTGGCTGCCCTGATTTTGTGAGGGCCAGTGGTGGTGGCGTTTGTTTTTGCTACCATATAAGTCCAGAAGGAATCTTAGATCTGACTGACAGAGGAGTGGGCTCTGAGAGAATGAGCTAGGTCTGGTTCCCTAAAAAAGGAAACCTCTAAAAAAGGAAAGTCACTGGAGCACACAACTTGTACCTGCTCTCACATGCTGTGAGCCTGACTGCTCCTTTTGTTTGGGTCGTGGGAGTTAAAGTTTTAGAGGATGTGACTAGAGTTTGAAGCATTTCCTTTTGCAGGGGAGTAACTTTCAGGATCCATCAAAAGGGGAGGAAGGGGGGCGGAGTTAGGGGAAAATTTGCTTGATAGTGCCAGGCCCAGCTGTGTAGACAAGTATTTGGTGGAATTGGCTTTTTTTAGGCCTCAGCTTAGCAGTTCCTCTGAGCCATTTTTGGGAGTGGTTTTAAAAATAATCATCTGAGTTCTAAAATTAGCGAACAAAAATCTTAATTTAAATTTGGTCTGTAGTTTTCTTGTGATATCTTTGTGTCTGGTTTTGGTATCAGGGTAATACCGGCCTCAAAGAATGAACTGGGAAGTATAACTTCCTCTTCTAGGTTTTAGAAGAGTTTCTAAAGGACTGCTGTGATTGTTCTTTAAACGTTTGGTAGAATTCACCAGCGAAGCCATATGGCCGTATGTTTTTGTTTGTTTGTTTTTGTAGAATGTGTTTCCACGTCTGTGTTTGTTATAGGCCTATTTGGATTTTTTTTCCAGTATTCTTTATTCCTCCTTCCCTTTCTTGTTGCCCTCTGGGAATTCTGTTTTGCATATATTGATATTATTAATGGTGTCCACAGGTTTCTGAGGCTTGATTCATTTTTTCTCATTCTTTTTTCATAACTGTTCCTTAGACTGGATATTGTTCCTCAGACTGTAAATTTAAATTGACCTATCTTTGGGCGCCTGGGTGGATGCCCAAATGGTTAAGCATTTGACTCTCGGTTTTAGCTCACGTCATGATTTCATGGTTCGTGGGTTTGAACCCTGAGCTGGGCTCTGTGTTGACAGCGCAGAGCCTGCTGGGGGTTCTCTCTCTCTCTCCTCTCTCTCTCTCTCTCTCTCTCTCTCTCTCTCTCAAAATAAGTAAAATAAATAAACTTTAAAATAAATACACAAACAGACCTGTCATCAAGTTCGCTGACTCTTTCTTTTGCGTGATCAAATCTGCTGAGTCCCTCCAGTAAATTTTTCATCTCAGTTATTGTACTTTTCAACTCCAGAATTTCATTTTTAAAAAAATAATTTGTTTCTTTATTGCTATTCTCTGGTAAGATACTGTTCTTATACCTTAAGTTCTTTAGACATGGTTTCCTTTAATTCTTTGAACATATTTAAAATAGATAATTTAAGTCTGTTTGCTTTTTTCCCCTGTTTGAACCATGCTTTCCTGTTTCTTTCTTTTTTTCACTTTGGTAGTTTCATAGAATTTTCTTTTTTTCTTGTTATTCCCTTTTTAAATTTTAATTCCAGTATAATTACATTATATTATATTATATTATATTATATTATATTATATT